CTAAGCCCTAACTACCACCTTCAAAAGCCCGATGTAAAAGCAGCCCGGGCTGGTTCAGCCACGTGGCGGCCGTTTGCCCTTTCTGCAGAGCAACCAGCAACTTTACATGTCCACGTGCTGTCGAACAGCACTCAACCCAAGCAGCTTTCTTTGCATCGGGAAGGACCACAAAGGCTCTTCTGGAGCCCTCACGCTCCTTATCTAATTTGGTCAGGGCTCATAGTCTGTCCATCACCCTTGTCCAACTGCCACACACCTAACCCAGGCAGCCCTGCTGACCACTTCCCAGCCGTGTCTGACCATCTGCCTGGCTGGGAAATGGTCTCAAATCGTCCAGGTCCTGTATTGAAACACTGATGCAGTGACAAGAGCCTGAAAGGCACTCTCCAGCTGTTCGGGCCCAGCGACACAGGACAGACGTCTGCATCTTCTCCTGCAGCAGCTCAGACCGACGGAAGGAAGCCCGGGCTCTGCTCCAGCAGCAACACTTCCACATCCCCTTCCTGAGCCCACACCAGCAATCGCAGCACTGGGGGGGTCAGCTGGGCCACGGGAGGGCTCCAGCACCTCTGAAACATGGCCCTGGTCCACTTCCAATAAGTTTTTGCAGAAGCTGAAAGCAGGAACCCCGACCTGCATAGGAAACCCAAAAGCCCCTCCAGCCCTGCACAGCCAAGCTCTCCCAGGAGCCAGTTTCTGTCTCAGCACAGACACATTTCCCATTTCCTTGCGAATGCCACCAGGAAGCTGGCAATTACCCTGGGAGCCTTTTGGATCACCAACAGCACGTTTTAGGAGCAGGGAGGAGGGGGGTGTGCCAGTTTGCGGCCATAGGAACGTGCCTGGCATCCATCCATCCATCCATCGAGCGTTCAGGCCTCGTCATCTTCTTGGACGGCATCTTCACGGACGCCGTCCCTCTGCAGACGCTGGGCCGTGAGCTCCTCCGCCCCCGCTGACCGAGGTCCTCCTCCTTTCGCCGCCGCCGCAGCGCTGCCCCTGTGCAGGCAGCAGCGCGGGGAGGGCAGGGGCAGGGGGCGTGAGAGCTGGACGCCTGGCGCCAGGCCATGCTCCATCACTCGCTCGCCGGGGGAGCCTGGGGGAACGAACAAAAACACCAGCGGAGAGTGACTTCATCTCAAAAGGCAGCTGCAACTTCCTCCCTTCGCAGGCTTTCCAGCTTTCCAAAGCGACGCGGCGGCTTCCTGCGGTCCTGTCTTGACACCCAGTGGACACTCAGTG